ATCCATCCATCCATCCATCCATCCATCCATCCATTCCTATCTCTCCCTATGTCCTTCCATCCCACTCTTCGTTCCGTCGCATTCCTCCATTTTCCAATTTCCTCTCATTCAACAAACTATATCTATAACTCTATTTATCCCTTTCCTTAGTTATTTATTACATTTCATAAATAGCTTTTTTTCTTTTCCTTTTTCTCTTTACAATATACAAGGAGCTATGTAAGTAGGGGAAAATGAAGGATGGTAAGGAAAAGGATATAGGCGAAAAAGAAAGAAAAAAGAAAAATTCCAAAAGTTATAAATGAAATATTTAACTGGAGGGCGCAGCCGCTGTGAGGCGCTTTCGGTACCAGTTAGCTGATAACCCAAATATCCTGCAAATGACGGCTCTGTTTGTTAAATGAAGACGTGCACTAGTATTTGATTGACTTAATGCATTTAACATGGCAAATAGTGATTAACGTTACAATTGCTGTCTCGCGCACCTGCCCGAACCCAGAAGGAATGAATGGATGGATGCATGAATATGAATGATCAGGAATGGGAAAAAATGAAAGAAAGAAAAGAGGATGAAAGCGAAAATGAAATAAAGATTGGAAAAGAGTAATGAGTGAAACTTAGGCCGGTTATTAAAAAACAATTCGTGCTTAGAGACAATGCTACATTATACATATGCGAGGATACACAGAAAACAAAACATGGATTATAATGGATTATATAGTTTTTTCTTAGAATGCGAAAAAAAACCCCAAAAGAAACGAAGAAAATGTAAACGGTAATCACAAGAAAACAAGACTTTTTTGACAAGAAAACACACTTTTGCTCATTTAGGGTGTTTAATATAGCGTTTTACTCAAGCTGTGATATTATTGCTATAAGCATTTTCTATGTGATAAATCCACAAAATATCAATAAAGCATGTTTTTTTGGCAGTCTATGGATATTGGTTACACAAACACTTGACGTCTTGGGGGAAAAACGTCCAAAAACCACTTCAAAATGACTAACGAACGAAAAACCAAGCTAAAAGCCAGACGATGGACGATAAAAAGGGAAACAATTTCATTAATATTTAAAAAAATCATTATTCTGAATTAAGGTACGACTTATTTAACACCATGCACTATCGTCAGCTGTGTTTTTTCAAGGGGACAAGAAAATTTTTTTTTTAACGAAAGACTCCAAATTTATTCAACAATGCTTTGTTTACAAAAATAAGCTTTTACTTTGTTTAGTTGCGAGGAAAAGAATTGTGCTTTTGCAATTAAAACGTTTCATTCTTCCTTGCTTTTCTAATTTTGTTTTGTTTTTAATTTAAGGTTTGTATTAGTAGATCACCTTTAGTAAAACAAACATCTACGAGAAAAGGTCATCGATATTAGCAGCTAAAAAAATAATTTGGGGAAAAAATTTGAATCATTTTTTAAAACGTTTTGCCTTATTCATATATAATCTAATGATAAATATGGATGGCGACGATACAAAATTTTTAAATTAATTTTTTTCGTAACTCTTAATAGAGATACAGCGATATATCCTCAGTATAATGTGTAAATAAGCTGCTGGAATAAACTACTTGTGATCCGCTGAAATTGAAATTTTAGAAGCGGTGAATACACTTTTTATCTCATATTTATAATGGCTTTTAGAACAAAAAAAACACGAAAGAATGTCACAAAGAATTAATGTGTACCGCTATAACGCGCACTTGAGAAACGTTTTTTTGTTTTTTTGCTTTTTGTTTTTTTGGGGGGCGAGGAATTGAAAGTTAAAGTATACGAAATTAGGAAAAAAATTCGGAAATACTCTCTGATATGCCGCAAACGTTTAGACTACATGATTGTCGGCGAGTGGATATTTCCCAAGTTCTCTCTTTTATTATATGATGAATGTAATTAGAATCTTTTAAAAAAATATCCGCTTTAAGCTACTATAGTCCGTCTACTTAGAGTATAATTATCAGTAGATTGAACAACTTTTTGGCAATTTGTTACCTGAAATATAAATGCTTCGAATATACCACAATACAACATGCATTTGTATGAAAATCGAATTGTCAAATTCTTGCGTTTTTGAAATGGAGATTATTACTGATATTTTTTCAGCTGCGTGGTTGTCAATTTCAAATTATCGAACTATTTAATATAAAACACGAAAATTAGACAAAGGTTCAGTTTATTTTATATTGATGTATTCAACGAATGTAAATGAAGTTGAAAATATAGAGACAATGGAATAATTAATTATATTGAATGGGGGGAAAATTCATTATTCGTTATTCATTTTCTGTTGTTCGATTATAATCCTAAGTTTTCTTTTCGAATGACGTGATTATTTTACTTGCCTTTTTCAAAAATAAACTTTTTTTTAATATCACGATACCAAACAAACTAAGTTTTGTCGATATTTGGATGGCTTTGTTTTTGACTGAAATGTCTTTTTTTTCCTATTGTTTTTTTCAGCTCTTCTTAATCCCTAGCAACTTCTAACTAGCTCTACTTATATCTGAAGCATTTCCAACTTGAAATATTTTGTTTCGGTAAGAAAAAAAAAGAGACAATTCAGAACCCTTCGGGTTGTTCACATTGCCGCTTTCTATGACATGTTTGTACTGAGATATTGCGGAAAAGAAATAGATTTAGCGATATATAGGAAAGAGTCCGTCATGCAGATGAAGATGGAAATGAGAATTCCCCGGGCAATTGAACTTCTGGCCAAATGAGAGCACTAAAAATTACTAGTCAAATCAAATAAAAGAGAATTCTTTTTCCATGCGTGAAAACAGTTACATTTTACTTTAGCCGACATTGAACATATTTGAAAGTTGGCTTCATTACTGACATACACTGACTCAGTGCGAGCGAGGACAGGATTTTATCGAGTGCCTTGGCCTTATACTTTCTAAATTAATAAACATCTTACAGAAAGATGGCACAAAAGCGGCAAGAGCGAGGGAAAAAAAGATGTTTCTTACCATTGTAGCGGCTTGGACTGATGACTATTCGAGTAAATTGTTGGATGGTATATTTTAGCTCTTTGCGGCAAATCCCAAGACAAGCGACCCACAGTATGTTCAACTACATTTGGATCTCTCGATTAAATACGATTTGCGCCATCTGACCGCTTGCTCATAGGCCCTTTCCACAGTTGCCATAGTAACGCTTTTATAACTGTCACTCGTCATCATCTTCTAATTTAATTTCTGCTTCTAAGAAACACCCATACAAAATTAAATAGCGCTACTTAATAAAATCTTTGAAATATTTATAAATTATCCCGAGCAAAATTGATCAGCATGTTTTGAAGTGCTTTGGAATAAAAAGATTTGGGAATTGTTTGATTATTTCTAAAGATGAAGGTAAAGATACAACTGGTGAACGTTTGATATTATTTTTTCAAGGAGTTAGTCCATCACAGCGATGAATATCTTTTATAGCATTGGAAATATTGAGTCTGAGATGATAGACTTCAAAGCGAGAAGTGTTTCGTTAATTGCCCCAAAATGGCACTTTTCCCAAAGTCATTTTCTCGATTCCCGCTATTTGACCATTCAAAACATGCATCAGGCCTTGCCTCCTTATGGCATGAATTACTGAGCGATTTGAAGAAACGGTTTGATAATTTATTGTATCTACTAGAAGCCGGTGTTTTTCGGTGTTTTTTCACATTCGAAATCTCAAACTTACATCGTTTTAACTCCCCCTGCTGGCCACAAATTTCCTTTCTATTAGGTCTTTTTTTCGTGAAGTGAAATTCATTTCAGAACAAAAGAAATTCAATTTGTTTGTTGGTTCATTTATGCTTCATTTTAATTGTACTTCAATTAGCTTTTCTTTAAGAAATTTAAGGATTTGCAAAACCTGACAAACAAGTATATACAGCTTGGTTAGTAAATTGAGCGCACATTTTGTTTCAAACTCGAACTGGCTGCGAAAACCTTAAAGCACGTATTCACTGATTACGTTACCGCGAATTGCACGAAAGGTTTTTGACCGTTAATGTTATGCGCCTAATTTGTTCTGCATGATGCATCTTTAAAAAGATTGGCTTAACATAACAAGGTGCGAAAATCGAAAAACATTCGCCTCATGCACTCAGCTTGCTTCCCGTTCTGTAAAATCTAGATGATTTAATCAAGTCCAGAAACTGCTATTTAGACCTCATGCGTTGATTTAACTTTCTCATTTAGATGCACGTACATGTCTCAATATTTTCCCAGCTCATTACGTTGCCATAGCAACCGTTCATTAACTGATGTCAATGTGAAAGTCAAACAATTTGAGATTGTCATTAAACGTCAAAGTCTTTAGCAAAAAGGCTATTGGAACAACGAATTGCGTTGATTAAGATTTTCTAAGTTATTTTTCTGCCTTGAAGAAGTAAGTCCTCTTATATACCTTATATACCATATGACTGATGTAACACTTGTGTACCATGCATGATTCATGGTATTACTAACTGTAAATATGCTTTACACACTTCTCAATTACTAGACTATCACAAGAATAGTGGGAATCTCATTCATGAACTCGCTTATCGAAAACTCGAAACATCTGCACAAGAGAATGGCATTGAAGCTAAGCAAAGTCTTTGTTGCTTGTCGAACTAAGCTTTTAATGAAATTGAATAGGCCGAAAACCGACGCGTACCTGTTCGCGGCATGTTTCCAAAACCTAACATGCTAAATTCCAATTTCAGGATCTGTGAGTTACCCGTTACTTCAGCCCAGAGGTTGTTTCAGGGTATGTGAGTTAGTCGTGCCCTGACTTTGAACCCACGAGAGGTTGCCCTACCCAGGTTTTAGATCTACCCAGGTTTCTTGCTGTTGTTGCATTTGGTTCTTCTCAGATTGGTAAAACATAAAAGGTGTGATGCAATAAATGACTTTGATAATCCCACGAGAGGTTGTCCTGACTATAGATCAACTCAGAGGTTGCCTTGACTTAGATCAACCCAGGTTGTTTTTTTGAATTTCTTCTCAGATTGGTAAAACATAAGGAAGGTGTGATGCATGCAATGGAGAAGTCATGCTGGTACTAATGGTATAACACACTTCAATACACCGAAAGTTTTCCCGCAGGATACAATGTGTTTCTGTAGCCGCGAGTGCAAAGCTTATCCTGTCACTCATCACTGCAACAGTCATGGTTCTTGCGGTAGACGTTATGTCTTATTCCAAAGGATTTTCCCATTAAGATCAGACAAATAAATGGAACAAGAGTTTAAATGTACTTAGTACTGATTGACATCTTTACATTAACAAAATAGGTTCATAGTCACTACTTTATAACTTTTGTATGACAAGCTAGTGACGGTAATTCAGAAGAAAAAAAGATATTTTGCCTGACGACGAGTCACAAGAACTTTCAGGTTTTTATGTGCGCTATGAACTATAGTTATACACTTGTCTGATCGAAACATAAAAAAGACCATAATGGAACATGATTTTACTGATCTTTATGGTGATAGTTATGAGAGGGAAGACATAGGAGCGAATGTAGTTTTTAGTTTCGGGTGGGGTGGGTGTGTCATCCAAATGGGAATCAAAGGTTATCTAGATTTCTATCAAGTTATAATGCCATTTAAATATAAATGACTGTGAAAAGCTCAGTGTCGTACGGATGCTAGTCTAGAATTTTTATTAGCTGATTCGATTTTTTTCGCGCACAATGTCTGGTGTATGCCTTGCCGTGCCATGATGGCATTCGCGCTTTTAACAGTCATACAACAGTTTTAACAGTCTCTCTTTGGGGTGGTCATTATACAGTAGCGTTGCTAGCTTTAACCCCCCGCACATTTAATCAAATGAAACTTAACGGACGAAAAATATATCCCGCAAGTGAGGAGGTGCCCTGTGTATTACATGGTAAGGCAGATTAGAAATACTGCTAGTATGTGGTATTCTTTTTATGGCCTCACTCCACGCCCGCGTTAAAGCATCATCCAACAAAAGACACCAAGACCAGACCTTTTGTCACATTCATCCAGAAAGGGCGGCAATATGTTGCTATCAATAGACGTCACTTCCGGTAATAGCTGCGTTTTTGAGGGCTTGTAGAATCTTGGAGGTTGTTTTGATCTCTTGTTTTCTGGTTTCATGTCGTAGAAACAGTCAAATGAAATAGTTTGAGGACTTATTTTGACAAGTTTTGACTTAACATCCGCTAGTTGCCCCTCAGTCAGCCGTTTGTTTGCCCCGCCCCAGTCAACTCCAAAAAAGTCACGTGATTGATAGTAAGCAATAAGACGTCCCCTCCACTCATTAATTTTCGGCGAGAATTTCCATATGGCTATTTTATTTTCTTTCTAGGTGAACTTAATACTAGGGCGCGCCTTCAAATCTGAGCGTAATACAAGTATTTATGACCCAAACATTTCATTGGTCTTAATCTTTAGGCATCGTGCTATTTCTCCATGCACTTGCCACTAGAAGGTGCACTAACCCCACGGTTGCTAGACTTTGCTGTGTAGAAGTTTTTCCGCACAGTAGGCCAAGAAAAACATGCATGAGGATTAAAAATATATATTATATTAGTATAATTTTAGACTTGAATATAGAGTTCCGTGCGCTGTGATTGGTCGAGCATCAACCAGTGATTATGAGACTGCGACTACGTCTCGTTGAATATTCATCGAGTTTCACTTACTTGGTATATTCCGGTTAAATACCCTAAAAAATATTGCAGTATCCTATCTATTTATATACACCGCGCATTGTGTAAGCTAGTATTTTCCATCATCTTGTCTAAAAAATAATGATTCTTAGAAAATTGGTCACTGATCGGCTTTCGTTTTGTGAAATGACTTGCAAGCAAAGGCTTGATATCGTAATTAGTTGTTTTTTATTGCTCGATATTGAGGTTAGTTATCATTGTTCTCTCTCCTGCTTTGCAGAAATGCGGCATATCGCATAAAAAGGTCTTTGATATTTCATCGCATCCTACAGGATAATAAATTATGATTGATTTATCTCGTAAATATCTGTTATTTTTTTACTCTTCATTAAGATTCGTAGTGTATTTTACAGGAAGTATTTACTATTTTTATCGACGTACAAAGATATCTTTAGCTAAATATAATTACTTTCATGGGCACCCTGTGGTATCTGGCTCACGCCACTCTTCCCGAAAAGCATGATGTCGGGCGCGTGCGCAGAGAATATCTTCTAAAATATCAACATGGCGGAAGACGGTAGTTGATGGAGAATGGCACCAAACCAGATGAAAAAACAGTCAAAATGATACCATTCCCGGCACCTCTGCACTGAAACTACCTGCGGTATTAATCACTCAGGATGGCTGTCTGCTCTCAAAGTCCTGCAGATTTTCTACAGGGAGTCTTTTGCCCTACGATTGCGGTCACTTGTAGCGAAGATGCTGAGCAAGTCTGCATGAAGAATAAGTTGTCGTTCGTGGAAATGACACGACCGTTTTGCCAGCTTACTACTGAAGGTAAATGCAGGACTTATATTGCAACCTCCGCTAATAAACCTCCGACATTTAAGCTTAGTTTCAGCGTTCTGTGCTTTAAATATGTAGTTCTTGTGTGAAGTATAACTTGGCACTTTCGATTTCTTACTTTATCCATATGGTGCTTCTCAAAACCAGTAAGCCTTTAAAACTTCATAATTAGATAAATTCACTAGATAAATAAGGTTTTAATTCATAATTTTGAAATAGAAGTTCCGAAAGTCTGAACTATAACTTGTACAAAACTCCATAAAGTTTGTTGTTTTGAATTGTTTTATCTATTGTCTCAACAAAATCACTTTAACCTGCTGTTATGATAATACTATAAAATTGCACGTGAACTAACGTCTATTTGATTGTCCTATAATTTACCTTTTCTAAATTCTATTAATTAATTAAAAGTTTCCTAACCTTTGGACTAGCTAAAATTTGTACATATTTCGTAGGGGTTTGTACATTTTTGTTAAGCTTATGAAAATTTAACTCTTTACAAGTCTGTAGAGAAAATAGTAAGCGGTTGTTGAACAAGGTTAAACAAAGTATCATGATTTATTAGTGGTAAGCATCCAATTATTTGATGATGCTGGAGGCAAAGGCAGTTGATATCAAGACACTAACAAATCCCTGTATTTTGTGATAACCAAGTTCAATTTTTTTTAGTGCTAGTTTTTCCAAAGTTAGAGTGCTCGCACTAAACCCATGAAACAAATTCTAATTTTTAGTACTAAATAGTGATAATCAAACAATAGGAAACAAATGATTCTGTATGAATTACTACTAATTAGTATATGTAATAGGACTCCATGCGAGGAAAATTCCGAGGACTGACAAAATTGGATAAGGCCGTAGGCCAAGTCCAATTTGGCAGTCAGAGGAATTATTACTTGATTGGGGAACATGAAATCCCATTACCTATTAATTATATGTAGATGCCTAATTAATCCCATATCAACAAGACCTGTCCAATTAAGAAAATAATTGGACAGTTACCTATATGGGATTAATGAGAAACTGTATAATTAGTACTAAATATTATTCATGGGTTTAGTGTGTGCACTCTATTCCAGTTTTCTAAAACATGAATAGTATCCCAACCAAAATTATGATGTTAACTTAGCAGGGCTAAGAATGAGACCAAGAATCTTTGCCTTGCTCTTAGTTATACTGTACAGCTAATTCACATCATGTGTCACGGTGGGACCAGTAACTCTGGAGAGTCAAATGTTACTTCATTTAAATTCAAACTTCCAATCAACTACTCAATATCAAAAAAATAATTAATTAAAAAATTTGGGTTTGAATCTGCTATCATGAATGATTGTGAACTTTCCAAAAGTATTCACTCCCCAACCACTTGGCTGGGAGTAAGCTTGAAAACCTTTAATTTTTTTTAAAGTTAAAAGTAATTTGAATTGCCAGAGTTTTGAGCATATTTGGCATCTAGACTTGGAATTTCAGACAAAGCTGCCAAAAATCCAATCAAAATATGAAAGACAATGATCGCACATGACATGAATTAGCTGTAACCAATAATATTTAGCCAGAAACAAGGTATGACCAAGATAAATCTAAATTGGCCAGCAACTGACCTTCCTTTATTTTAAACCCTTTTTAGGCAATCATATTTCTAGACTTCACACATCTTGATGTTTAATCTCAATATTTGATATGATCTCATTTTGAATAGATTACGAGATATAATCATATTGAGAATAATGGAACATTAATATTAGGGTTTCTGCAACACTTAAGAATCCTTGAGAACTAATAGAATTTGATATCCATTCTCAAGGACTGTGAGAGGATTCCTGGGAAAAACAATTAAATTTATCAAACCATAAAACAACGTCTGGACAACATTTAAGTTAGAGCAAGCCTGACTCACGGATCAAACTGAAATTTAGAATGTCTTGTTTTAAGGAGGGAGGAAGATAAAAAAAAAACAAATAAAATTCTTTAACCAAGGAAATGAGAGATTGAGCCAAAGAATAAAAAATATCTAGAACTTTAAAATTCAAGAAAAAAAAAAGATTTTCCATGTAAGAAAAAATTTTTTTAAATAGGACAATAACATATTATCATTATCATAAATAAACTAAGCCAAGTTTTAGCAAATTTTCCAAATGTCAGAACTTTGGCTACTCATTTCTAGCTCAAAATTGGATAATTTTCCATATTAGAATGGTATTTTGACGAAAGAAAGCTGCCTCAAATCTCTTCAAACTCAAAACCAAAACTGAGTCGGTATAAAACAACTCGTGTTCTTTCAAGTGGTTTCTTGTTGACATTTGATAGGTCAAGAACGGTCCTACAAGCCCTTTATAGCCAATCAGTAACCAGGCTGCAAATGTATTTGTGGCCCACCAAAATCCATTTACACCTGCTGGCCACGAGTTTTCATGAGGACAGTTTATTATTTGGCTTAGTTTATTGATGATAATAAGGAATACCATGATACTGAGAGATACTAATGATTAGAGTGAATGTAGGTCTTTCACTAACCCTCCCTTGGCTTTGGGTAGTGCCACAGGAGGATGTACTATTACTAACTCTACCAAGGCAGCACTTCATTATCTAGGTTCATTTTAACGTTTTTTTGTTGGTTTTTCTTTAGCCCATATCCGAGATCCTTCAGGAGCCGTCCACACAGTTAAAAACTGGAAGCTACGTCTACTTGAAATGTCAGCACCACACCCCCCTCACCATGTTGTTAATAAACTCTTGCATGAAGTTGTGGCTCGTACCCAACCAGTCAATACTGAACCAAGTAGTTACAGCCCTGAATACCAGGCTAAAGGTATGCACTTTCTGATCATTCATTTATTTGTTCATCCATCCACCCACTCACTCTTCTCCTCCCTTTTTCCCTTCCTTCCTCCCTCCCTCCCTCAGTCTAGTCATCCTTTTCTCCATTCATTTCTTTCATTCATCCATCCGCCCATCCACCCCTCCATCCCTCCCTCCCTCCTTCAGTCTATTCTTTCATAGATCCTTCATTTGCTCCCTCTCTCCTTCAGTCCATTTTTCCCTCCCTCCCTCCCTCAGTCTAGTCATCCCCTCCTACATTCATTTCTCATTCATTCATCCTTCCACCCACCCATCCCTCCCTCCCTCCTTCAGTCTATTCTTTCATCAATCCTTCAGTTGCTTCCTCTCTCCTTCAGTCCATTTTCCCCTTCCTCCATTCCTCCATTAATTCAATCATTAATCCATCCATCCATCCATCCATCCATCCATCCATCCATCCATCCATCCATCCATCCATCCATCCATCCATCCATCCATCCCTTCTTCCATTCATTCAAATATCCATCAATCCATCCACCCATCCATCAATCCATCCACCCATCAATCCATCCACCCATCCTTCCGTCAGTCCACTCAACAAAAATGAAGGTTTTGAAAATAATGATAGCATTAAACTTGTGGAAATGCATTTTTGGTAGTGCTATTTTGTTTGAAAGGGTACAATTTCTGTTAGCTTGATAACTGTTATAAGTTATTTTAGTTTTAGTTCTTAAGATCTTTATTTGTATTTTTAAAGCCTCGACACCCTGGTTTGAAGCTTACAGAGACTGTTTCCTTCAGTTATTAAAGCCGTCTGATCATGAATTTATCAGACATTTCCTGTCTTGTATCCTTGCTTTGCATAGATGTAATACCTATATCAGAAGAATTGTATATAAATTATATATTTGTACTGCGTAGTTATGTATCAGATTGAGCTGATCCTCACAGTATATCAAGCAACTTAATCAGCTGCAAATTTGAAGACACTTTAAAAAAAAATGTTCTGAGTCTTTAAATTTGCAGCTGCATAAGCTGCTTGATATACTGCAAGTATCAGCTCAATTTGATTGGTGTATGTAATACCAGATAGTAATGAGTATTGACAACACAAAATTCATTTTAATTTTATAAATCTACCTTGGATAAACATAAAAGCATGGCCTATTCCTTCCCTCTCTGTATTCGTTGTTGTTATATCACATGGCCATTTAATCGTTGATTATTAGCTACTGTCAGTGACTTGTAGCATAAATTTGCAGATGTACTCTTCATTTCCAAATCTTATGCAAGAGCATCTTAACAGTTTAATAATAATTTTTTCCTTAACCAGAATTCTATGTAGGTGTGTTTGTTGTATCCTCACATCATTCTGACCCAATGAATGCATTTGCAACAATGACATCCCAGCTTCTTGATCAACAACAGACATCTCCTAACAGCCACATCAAGTGGTTCAGTACTGGGGTCTTTAGGTATTATGTATTGCTACATGATGTCAATGATGCAGTTGAGTCTAAGTGAGTAAACATGATACTATATAATTATACTGTTACTATGTGCTAGCTGTAGACAGGGCTCAAGATAACGAATGGTCATCAGATATAGTGTGGCCAAAATAGGCACCCATCCTGCCAAATGTGCTGTAGACAGGGCTCAAGATAGCGAATGGTCATCAGATATAGTTTGGCCAAAATAAGCAGTTGTCCTGCCAAATGTGCTGTAGACAGGGCTCAAGATAGTGAATGGTCATCAGATATAGTTTGGCCAAAATAGGCACTTGTCCTGCCAAATGTCTCTTAGGCCAGTCCTCCTGACTGGTCACATTTGATCAGTCTGACAATGCTGGTCATCGTCAAGTTCTGATTAGATGCATCATGGTTAATGGTTAGGTGACTGGTTATTTTATTTATCAGGGCCGAAGCAATATACCAGAGTATGAAGTCTGTATATGGTCTTTATGCCTGTCACATGTTGATGGTGAATTCAGTTAACCCTGTTACAGCAGCTCAGATGCCAAACCTACCTGACCCATGGAGTCAATTTATAATTCCAGCTAGTAGTGAATCTCTGGTGAGTTGCTTCCATAATTGACAGATCTTAATCTTCTGTCAAAGCAATTAAATTCAGTTCTTAATGAAAGAGCCAGACATAATCATCTGACAATACCCTGCCAGAATTGGATTTTGTCTGGTCAAATCTTCACATTTTGACCAGTAATGTTGAGCCAGAAACAAGGTATGATACAGCTAAAACTACAGCGCTGTAACACATATATGGCTGTTGATCATGACCAGTGACTGACTTGCCATAATTTTAACTGTGCTTTCAGAATAAGCCAGCAGCCACTGGAGCTCTGACAATTGCTTCAAAGTTAAATGTCAGCTACTTTTTCTTTTCTATGAATTACCTTCTGTTCCTTGTGTAATGAAAATCACCAGACTGTGGAATAGGCCCGAGTTTTCTTATGACAGCCACACCCACTTTTGTGTCATTGCCTCATCTATTTTCATTGAAAAATAATTGAAATAATAAAAGATTATGAACAATCCATGTATAGTCTTTACTAATGCCAACGATTTGACCACATACATGTGGAATGTTTGAAATCTATCAATCGAAAAGGGTAGGGCAATCACAAAAAAATAGATTTTTGTGGGGATTTTGTTCGATTTTATGAGATTTTTTAAGGGCACCGAAACTACAAAATATGGCAAATCAATGTATCTCTCTGTCTTTTTGTCGAAAATATCCATGTATTTTTGTAGAATGATTGACTAGCCTTGGTTCGTGCAATCATATAGTCTGCAAATAACTATTATCTGATTAATCTTATTATTTTTCTAATCACTTCCGATGGCGCAATTTTTATTCCAAAAGCCCGTACGTAGGCTTCCATCATATGCTGATTATCTCGAAAACGAGCTCGGGACACCCTATTTTTCTTTCCAGATTTGGAATCAGCATTAAATTTCAATTCGGAAAATCGAAGTTTTAAAAAAAGCTTAAATCAATTTCCAAAAGTAGGCAGTCACTTTAAGCCCTGAGGTTTAATTACCATGGTAGGATTTCGATTGCTTTGCTATCTCATGTTGTTTGTTGCTATCAACAATTCCTCATTATTCCTTATTATTGATACATATATATGTATACACACAGGACTGGGATGATGAAGTGAACTCAAGTATAGAAGCAACAGAAGAGGACCCCATCAACTGTGCTGTAGATGAGAACTTTGATCCAGAAAAAGCCATAGCAGACAGCGAAGAACAAAAGGGAAGATCAGGGTCTGGGTCAGGCATCTTAATCGGTCCATTAACACTTGACGACAACCATGAAGAACCTGATACCCAAGACCTGATCAATGACCAATCAATGAAAAGCAGTGCAGAATTGAGTAACTCCCATGAGAAGAGACACTTGGCCGGACAGTATAGGTATTTCTCTAGCAGGAAGTTCACTAGTGCTGTAAGAAGCCAGCCACTACACCGCACACATGGGTTATGCCTGAGTCTCAGTGATCAGGATAGAATCAAGATTTTTATTCATGAGTTGGCTTTTAGAGGACTTCTGCCATACATTGAGAGAATGATGAAGAACCTCTATGATCAGGTATGTATGTATATCTTTTAACTTTTTTGTAACTTTATTTTCTCTTTAATATCATTAATATCCTCAAGTTTATTACCCAGAAATAACCTCTGGGCTCTCAAAGTCAGGGCATGGCTAATTCAATTGCTAGCAAATTAAAAAATAAATAAATAAATAAATAAATAATGTTGTGACTGTCAACTTCCATTTCTGTTCCATGCCATGTGCATGTACTGTATACTGTATTTAGGATTTTTAACATGTTTCAAGTTAGGATCTATTGTAATTGAGAAAAACCTTTAGTAGATCCCTACCCTCTAATAGCATGATTTTGGAAAATTACTGAACTTCTCAATGTTCTTTATTTTCAATTGTCTTCCTGGCAACATTTTAAGAGTATGCTAAGTCAAACGAGATGAGATGAGATGAGATGAGATGAAATGCAATGTAATTAGTTTAAATGAAATAAAATAAGATATATAATTCACAGATCAAATTTTAATTTAGCATGTTTTGGAAATTGAACTTTTTTGAACGATCTAAAAAATACCTTGTATGATTCCGGTATATTTTCCATTTAGTTGCCAATCAGACATGAATAAACATAACGTAATAGAGTACCTTGAATATTTCTTTTGTGTTTTCAGATCATGGCCCGTAAAGGAATCCACAGATCAATATTTTCAGCCACTAAGAAATGGTTTGGTGGAGGGAAGCCAGCTGGTCTAGCATCTGGCCTGGTTCCTGGAATAATGTGAGTATAAAATATACTGACGCAAATGTCTGGAAATCGTGAAAGTACATGTAGGTGAAACAAGAAAAGTATAAAATATAATTACAAAATATAAATATAAATACAATTTTTATGGATTTTTACTATTTGATGCAATTCCTAAGAATTCTTACCAGTGTGTTATATTTTTATGTAAAGTTTTCATAATCTTTATTTGCATATGTACATGTAATTATATTAATGTTGAAATTGAATAAAAATTGAAATTGAATGAAATTAAATAAGTTGTCGAAAATATTTGAATATTATTTTATTCCTTAACTTTTTATACTAAAACTTATTATGTAAAGCGTTGTTGAATTCTCCAGGATATTGATGCTATATAAAATGTCATTATTATTATTATTATTATCATTATGTGTCATAGTCGTATTACTGCAATTTTCACAAACATGTCTCTGCGAGCTACAAGCTGAATTGTGGTTTTTCACAGACGTCAATCAACCATAATCAGTCGGTATCTTTCATATTTTTGACTGGCAGCAACTTGGAGACAGAGTTCACATGTTTATGAAAATTGCAGTAAGTTACGCATTTAAAAGAGTAGCATTGGAATGAGCCTTATGCTTTCAATTTAATCTACTGTATTTTAATTCTCAACCATGATTTAATTATAATATTTCCCTAATTTGTTTTCCAGTTATGCAAATGATTCCCCTGAACTCTATCACAGAAAGCTTGGAGACTTGGCTTTCTTGGTCCAGAACTATGAACTAGCCTACAACTGCTACCACACTGCTAAAAGAGACTTCAATAGTGAACATGCCTGGTTCTATTTTGCTGGAGCTTTGGTAAGTTACCTTTATGTTTCCCCCATCAAGGAGGTTGACATGTATTCAGGTTTCATGCTACTCCTTGAAAACTCCTTGAATTTAATTCATGTTTTCAAGCTCACTTGAAAAACTCTTGAATTTTGGTAGATACTTATTTATATACAGACTTGGTGTGTTTTACATGTAGTAACATTGTATTTCAGGAAATGGCAGCCATCTCAGCATTTCTGGCTGGTTTACAACGTCCCTACCCATCTCACTACATGGATACTGCTATTTCCACATATCTTACTGCCTGCAGGTATGCTATGCTTTGTTACGTACTATTGAAATAAATTGACCTGAATTAATTGCATTGGAAGCCAGTTGAGTGTTAATGAAAGCCAATTAAATGCATTGGAAGCCAGTTGAATGCTGTAAGTAAAAGCCAATTAATTGCATTGAAAGCCAGTTGAGTGCTATAAATGTAAGGAAAGCCAATTGAGTGCTATAATTGAAGACAAAAATGTGATAAATGAATAAAATAATATATAGTATATAAATAAATAGATAAATAAATGAAAGCCAATTTATCATATTGGATGTCAATTGTTCCCTTCTAGATCGTCCCCTCACAGAATTGTTTATTGTTTTCCTTTTCTAGACAACATATGTTTGCAGTAAGGGCATCTCTGTTAAGCACAGACGTCCTTAAAGCCAAAAACATGTCTTTAGATGCTGCAATGCAATTCATGAAAATGACGGGAGAGGTAAGCTTTTTTTTGTGTGACAATCCTCAACAATCCTCATTAAGGGCCACGACTTTATTAGTATTGTATACTATTTGGCGTTTTAACTCTATTATAAATTAAGTTTTTGTCTATCTTTAAGTTAGTGAGAAAGGACGAGTTCAAGAAAGGACTGACCCAGGTCTTTCTAGTCATAGGTTTTGCATGATCACAAATTGACAGCCATGTTGGATGGTAGGAACAACACAATCAATTTACATAAGAAAGAATTCAGTTGCCCAGAGAAAAGAGAGTCTATCATTCTATGTCATCTAACATGGCTGCTGGCATGTGATTCTGCAAACCATTGGTTCATAAGAAAATCCCAGGGAAATTTCTATGTACAGTACTGTAGCTCTACTTTTATGAAGTGACTGCTCCTTTGCCATTTCCAATGACTATGAATGTCTATATGCTGTATGTCTATTGCAATCTTTTTTCTCTTCATTTTTCCATGCTTCTCATTTGTATGTTTTTTCTGTTGCATTCTTTTTTTTTTCTTTTTTTTTTCTTTCTTATTCTTTTGCATTTTGTTATTTTTCTTTTCTCTTTCTCTTTCTCTTTCTCTTTCTCTTTCTCTTTCGCTTTCTCTTCCTCTTCCTCTTCCTCTTCCTCTTCCTCT